TGTTTACTAATATAAACCTCATTTTTTCATTTATTATTTCATTTATCTTTTTATCTATTCTTTTTTTCTTAGTTTATAACAGTCAAAATAATAAATAATTGTATAAATCAGAAAAAGTATAAAATGCAGTATTATATTACATTTAGATATTACATGATATAGATTTTAATTTTTTATTTCATTGTAAAATGTTGTGACTTTTCTCACAAATATCTGATAAATTATCTAATGAACTAATAGATAGACTGTAATTCCAGGATATCAAGGACGTAGATAAAGTGATGTCATAGACTGAGTAATCAAAATAACTAATTCAATACAAAGCTTTTATGTCAATCATACAGAGTCTACTATTGAAACATCTATGCTTTTCCAACTACTGTATGTAAGGAGGTTCTTATTGTCTACATTTGTTTGTACTGATGTCATCGTATTAATAAATGACTTCCCAACAAATACTTCATAATTATGGGTATTTATCTTATAATGGTATTTGTGTTAATGCTATATTATAATATTTGTGTTAAATACAATACTGTGGTATATAATGATATAATGCTATATGTTATGTATTTCATTACCTGTACATCCCCCTAATCCTCTCCTCCTAAAAATAATGTCTTTTTAGTTTAATTGATTAATTCTAGTTTTAATTATACTATGAAAATTGTTGTCTTTATAGAAAAAAGGATAATTATAGGTTTAAAAATATGGTGGCATTTTCTCTGTCTGTATAAAGTTCCGGAAACTTTATTATTGAAATATTAGATATTTGACAAGTATTTTTTATGGTATTCAGTAACTAATATTTACTCCCACTCCTTTTAACCCCTGAAACTGTAGTTATTATCATAAATTTACCTGAAATTGATACTAATAGAGAAAGATGAAAGCATGGGAATTGGATTACATCTTCATCTCCTGCTGTGCACAGTTAAATAAATACTTAATAATTATTTGAAATATTTGAGGATATTATTACAGGAAGACTGCTGCAAGAGCACTGATTTACGATACCAATCTGAGTACCTACCTGACCGAGGCATGATTTATACATTTGGCCTGATTACGATCACTTTTATTAATTCAATTTAGTTTCATATGAGATGGTCTCCTACAATTAAAAAAATTAATTTTTGCTGAGCTAATAACAAGCTATAATATTTTAAGAATAATTTTTATGATTTTCTGGAAATAATTTTTTTAATTAAATATTTTTCTTATTTGAAAATGTGATTACTTTAATTATCTAAATAATTAAACATTCTGCAAAATATGTTTATATCTTTCTCAGTATGCTGTTAAAGTACTGAATTATTTATAATGTTTTGAACATAACTGAGTAGAAAGACTTTAGAGCCGTCATATGGGATATGAACCAGTGACCTCCAGCCTTCTAGGCTGAAGCACTCCAAAATACCATATTACTGTATTACTGACTGGTTAGCTGAGGTATATTCTGTTAGTCAGCAAATGGCAAGATAATATTTAATGAGTTAATATTTATTTATTTTTTTTTTTTAATATCAATTTACATTTAAAATAAAAATTGTTTTGAAATGAATTTTTTGAATATCTTCGTAAAAATCTTAATTAACAAACAATTATGTGGTTTAAATCTAAATTTTTAAGCCAAACTAAAGCCAAACCTCTTTTTTGGAGCAAAACATGCCCTCTGATAAACTCCTGGCATTAAATAACAGGCGGCATCACAACCTTTATTTAAAAAAAGCTCAAATAAATAAATAAAATGATTATGAAATTGACCATTTATATTTTAGAATGCTTCAGCTCTTCACTTAATTTACTTGATTTTTTTTTAAATGCAAGAGAGACTGCAAGATGCTGTTAAATAGCAGAATTGCTGTCAATCAAGGTCATTTAGATAGACAACCATATAACATATCTTGATTCTGTAATGGCATGTCTACTCATTGCAGTTCGAGACACAGGGAAAAAAGATTATTTTTGGTTCAAAGAAAAATTTAATTAGACAAGAATGTCTAGTATTTTTTAGTGTCATTACTGGATTCAGTAAATTAGTAGCTCCCACAAGCTGAAATTTATTCTCAGGAATGGTCAGCGACTATATAAGAATCTAAAAAGTTTGAATTATAGCGAATCAAAGAAGGCTATATCAGGATGTTTACACTTTAACAAGCAAAAATTATGAATTTTCATTTGTTTTATACATAACCATTAAAATAACATGAATGTTCAGACTGTTTCTGTTTAAGTGTGTTTTTTGCTCAACGTACCTAAAAAAAACTCATTGCAATATTCAATTAATATGTTATTTAATTATTAAAGTCTAATTGCAATATCAGGATGAAATTGTTGTTTTCTTTGCGATATATGTGTGCTGAGAGCCTTCAAAATGCGGGTAATGGAGTACAACCTCTCTGTGCTTATGAATTATTCATGAGATTGTCTCCAAGTTTTGCTTGTAATGGAAATGTATTCATTTACCTGAAACAGTCAATTTCTATCACTTGTCTCCTCTTGTAAAATACTGAGACAGTATTTTGTGACAGTATAGTTTTTTGGTATTATTATTATTATTATTATTAGTAGTAGTAGTAGTAGTATTATGTTGAAATACCATCAATTATTGAATATAATTAATAAGATTATATTTGCACCATTCATTACATTTCATGGATGGAATAGTATCTTTATCAATGATTTTATCACCCTCCTTGCTACAGCAATTGACCACTGAATTAAATCAAATAGATCTATTAGATCTCTATGGTGTCCTATACGGTGACCAAATTGTCTGTATCCTTCTTTGTCCTCTATTTGCCTTTTTGCCCTCCCATAACTATTTAATCCCATCCATTGTTTGATGATGTTAAACCATCTCTTTCTCTGTCTCCATCTGCTCTGTTCCCCCTCTTTTTAACCACAGGCCCCTTTTTTAACCTTCAATGATGTTTGTGCATGTTTTGAGCCACTAATTAGTTCTATTAAATACTTTAAAACATTATTGATAAGATTGGATTTGAACTTTTATAAGATTAGATTTGTATTATCCTTCCTGGGGTACCAAATGGTTTGACTGCTGAGTAAGTCAGACATTAAGTGTTAGGTAATAAATATATCAAAAGCTATCATTGTCAAGCTGGCTTTTGAACCAATGTTATCACCCTCCTTAGGTGCTATAGCCGTTTTCACATTGATTATTTTAAACAGCTTTGAACTAATAAATGTCAAAGTAATATAATTGATAAGACTGGATTTAAACCATATGTCATTAACCACCTTGGGTGCTCAACCATTTGGCTGCTGATTGCTATGTTATACAGTTAAAGAACTAATAAATATGGAACAATAATATTAATTGACCAGGCTGGATTTGAACCCTATTGGCATCATTCTTCTTGGGTGCTAGACCATTTTGTCACTGATTATGCCAAACAGGTGTAACTGTGTGAACAATGAAGAAGATGTTCATTGAATATTATTGACAAGTTTAGGTTTGAACCCTAGTATAATGACCCTCATTGGGTGTACCTTAGCCACTTTTCTGCTTCACATTTACATTAAATAGTAAGCACTAATGAATATATGTTGAAGTGATATGGAATTCGACAGCCCAGAGTTTAAAATGTCTGCTTGGTTTTCACGAGTAGAATTACACAATTTGAGTGAAAAGCTTGATATTCGTTGTCATGTTCTTGGATATCCATGTTCGTCAGTCAAGTATTTTTCATGTCAGTAAGTGGGAATATTGTGTATAAAGCCTTTCGCAGCCTGCTTAAATCTTATATACGTTGATTTTGCAGTGCGGTGTATCTTTGAATGTAGGTATGCAAGTTTTTTTAATGTGCTGGCTTGTGCTTATCCGTACGGATTATATCTCATGATGTCTTAAGTAGCTATAAAATTGAATTGAATAGGGATTGGAACTGTCAGCGTAGATGCATGCAAGGCTATAAACTGCACGGCTACAAATCTAAGAATCATTAGCCCATTTAAACTTAGCATAAAATTATGAATTATTTAAGTGTGAACTGGCACTAATTTGTGCCTCTTTAAATAATTGTACATTTTCTACACGTTTGGTTTTAAATGCATAATTATTTTTGGAAGTTCATCTTATACATAATGTTATTGCTGACTAGACCTGTTGGTTTGTAAGATATAGAAATGCAAGTCTTCCTATAATGTAGCAGCTTATTTGAACTATGTTATTGTAATAATTTTAATCATCATCTTCATAATCATTAACAATGTGTTTTTCTTTGTATATTTTTTTATTTAATTTAAAAGCAAAATACAATAGCATGTCATCAAAAGATGAGTTCATAATAATAATAATAATAATGATAATTAATAATAAATAATAATAATAATAATAATGTCATCTTATTAGGCACACTTATCCATCTCAGAGAGCTGCTTGTGGTGCCATTTCCACTTGCACACTGCATAATTCTTTTATTATTTTTTAAAAATTTGTTTTGGTTTCTTTTTTCCTTTTTTAAATAATAGATCTTAAATATACAGTATAATTATTATCAACTTAGTGAAGAAAACAGGCAAAAGCAAGTGCAAGATATCCCAGGGTCAATCCATCCATCACCACTCCTGAACCTTGGGTATACAACAACATTCTTGTTGAGTTCCCTGACTTGAAATATTGCTGCAGTTCCCTTTGCTACTTAGGTTTAAAACCTGGCTAGTAATTGTGGAGGTCATTGGTTCAATTCTTACTAGAATCACTTGTAAATTATACTGAGCATTCAGTGCAGTAACGCAGATTAGGTATCATTCCTATTCATATGAAAGTCTGTTTTTAATTTTCATATTTTATTAATGGTTATTAGGTTATTGTTTTGATTTTGATTTTTTTTAGTTAGTAAAAAAACTAACTTTCACATGTTGCTATGATATTTAATGTTATTTGTTAGCTGTTATTAATAATTTATTATTTTTCTTACTTGATATTAGAGATTATTAATATTACATGCATATTGGTGTATTTCTCATTGCAGATGACGGTAAACCAAGAAGACGCAGCATGGAGAATCTTGAACTAGTACGAATGACACCAGAAAAGGTAGGCAACGTCTTTTTAATTTATCGTGTTATTATTTATTTATTATTATTGTCTTCATATTAAATAGGGGAGCCATTCTTTTTACATTGGTCTCACTTTCTCACTTACGTCAGCGGCTGATCCAGTATGTTTTTGCCGAGAGTGCAAATCACCAATGAAGGATTTATTGTCCGATGGGAGTAGGTTGAGGGTTGTTACCTTGCTTTTGACTTTGGGGGTCCGTTGGCCTGTAAACTTTAGAGATTTATCAATTTCATTCTCCTTTCTAAAAGAGTAAGCACTGCAAAAACTAAATTTTTTTCTAAGGGTCGCTGTAGAATATAGAAATACTTTCTAAAGTGATCCTTAGCAAAAAAAAATTATTCTGTTTTGTATAAAAATTGTTGCATAATATTATACATGGCAGGGATGTAGCTATTGAAAACTGAGGATGGGTGTTAGAATTTTTAGGGTGGGTTTGGCATGAACGTATGTGTACTTTGGTGCAAAGCACCAACCGAGCGAGGACCGAAGAACCGAATAGGGGGATGGGTTTCAGAGGGGGAAAATCCCCCGAAGCACTGGGATTCTTGCTGTATAGAGAGCCAAAATGTTCGACTTGGGTAATGTAACTTAACAATTTACTTAGTTTTGATTGCTTATAAAAATATGTACGTACCTAATTTTTTTAAAGTCAAGGACAAATACTAGCCTATGCGACATAACTACTATTCTTTATTCCAGGATAAAAGGGTCATTCATGCAAGTAATATAATTTTAATCAAGAAAAAAAAAACAATAATTTATTTTTAAAGACAAGGACCACTAGCCTTTGTAACATTGGTCATCATCATGTAATCATCATAATAATGTCTACTTTTCTTTAGTTTGGTTTAACCGTTTACTTCTGTCTCATGTAATTGCAATACAGTAGTCATGGACTAGTGATAAATAAATCTAATTCCGAGATTATGAACTCAGTGTATTTTATTTGCTAATAAAATTACTCCATAAATTAGACTAACAAAATTATGGAAACAATTTCACATGTATCTCCTATCCTTTATTATTTAACATATCTTGTTGATTTTCACTAGTTCAAAATATCTACGACTAGTGGTGGGCGACGGTAACAATCTCCCGATAGTAAGCTAGGGACTTCCCCATTTTCAGTCGTGAATTGCAAGTTAACATCAACTTGCTCACGAGTTTTGCTTCACTGAAAGCGAAATGAATAAGAATAGTAAGAGCCAGGGTTACAGTGACTATATCGTGGGAAGCAAACATCGCCCTTACAACTACGCTCTGCTTTTACACGTCAATTCTACCAAGCTGTCCCCACATTCTGCAGCCCTCTGGGACATTCAATAGGGAAACAGTAGTAGTTGATGCCTCCACGCAAGGCTTTATTTAGTTGGAGAAAATTAATCCGGCTAACACTTTAAACTGTTAATTAACCACCAGCGCTACGTACGGTTAGCGCTATTCAGGCTAGAGAGACTTAGTGATATTATAAACTTACCGCAATGTATTACACACGGTAAAATGATTAAAGATCCTGAAATCATTGCAACAAGTAAATCAAAACAATAACATGCCTGTTTGCTCAACGTTGTAAGACTGAGCATGCTGTTTTAAAACGACATTCCTGGAAAACAGTCTTAACCTTTGACATCAATTTTTTTTAACTAGCCTGGCTATGTCAAAAGTATGTTGCATGAGAGATAATTTCCAGCTTACAGTACCCCCACTGGAAAAATCGTGTGGAATTTCACCTACTGTATGAGGGGTACCCCATGGGTTTTTCACAGTTTTTGGCCAGGGCAGTGCGTGCTTGTGATAGATGCCAATATTTACCGGCCGTATTTGGCGATCATGAACTTTACCCTGGAATACGTAAAAACCGTCCATATACCGCATTTAAAATGGTTCACAGCAGGGTTGCCAGATAGTCGACAGGCTTCACGGCCAAACACACGCCATCTCACGGCCAAATTCGGCCAAACTTTTTTTCGATATCGGCCAAAATTCGGCCAGATTTTAATCCGATTAGAAGACAACAGTAGGTACATTCATTTGAAATTCTACAAAAATTATACGAAAATCAGCGCTCCTTCGTTTGAAATTGAAGAAATTCAAATGATATACACAGAACAATGTTGAAAATAAATAGCATGTTCTTTAGTTGTTGGCATGCAGGCCAATTCAGGGGCAAATCCAGAGATGTCCGAAAGGGGAGGGCCGGGGCCGAAAAAAGGGGAGGCCGAAAGTAGGTCCATCTTAGAGGAAATTTGTCTTTTCTAGACGCCCGAAAATAACCTGATGTACTTGGTTGGGCGATCATTTTTATTTTTTATTTATTTATTTTTTTTTACCACCCCTTCCCCTTAAATCCACCTCTGCTACTTAAAATTGATCTAAATTTGATTTAAATGTATTAAATATTATGTACATTGTAGTCGATCTATAGCAAAAATTTTAAGGGCCTGTTATTGCCAAATTCGTGGCTCGCTTTAATTAGAATGAATTAAGTTACATAGTTAGGTAACACAAACTGGCGTTAAAACAAACCCATGAAAACTTTAATAAATAATTCTTATCTAAACTTTTGAAATTCGCCTCTGAGTGTTATTGCCGCAGTACTTAAAGTAATAAATCAATGTTGCTATAGTATCAGAATTATCTTCTTCATTCTCATATGCAACCTAACTCCAGAGTAACTTCGAAGAAGTCTCTGCAAAACTTGCTTGAAATTGGATGTGCTATCGGACCCGAATTATCACATCGAGCATTTATAGCACTCTACATAAAGAACACTGCGGCACCTAGGGCTATACAATTCAAGTGGGCAATAATAAACTGTTATCTTTAAATAAACTCTCTTACGTCAAATCGGCTGAATCGGGGAACATATTAAGTGTTTAGTGCAAGTACAAACAAAGGTACAAGATTAGAATCAAATACCGTATAGAATTTAAGCTAACAAAAACAAAATATTCAAAACAAGTCTACGTTATATTAGACCTATATTGAAAAAAATGTAAACTTTTCAAAGATTCGGCCAAATTCGGCCAGATATAGTTTGGCCGTGACTTTCCAAATGCTACGGCCAGGCAAATTTTTATACGGCCAGATTTGAGGAATCTGGCCGTCAAAAAGGCCAAATGGCAACCCTGGTTCACAGTACAATACAATCTGACAAGTTGTGGCTTTTTCGGCTACACCCTAGACTGCCCGTACCAATTTGCAGACAGACAACTCATGTTTTCAAACAAACTACGTTGCTCTCATGCTAAGCGACGAATCATGTGACTGTGTTTTTAAGGTACAGCGAAGCAAGCGTCTGGCAAACAACATTCTGACTGGTGCGAGAATCCATTGTCGCGTTATTAATAACTATTAATTGGGAAAAAAACTTGTATTTGTGTGTGATTTTTAGGGTGGGCGGGAGGGCTTGTATGAGGCTGGGCAGAAGACCTTAAAAATGGCTTTAGGATGGGCGCAAGACATCAAGGCTGGGCGGCCCCGCCCACCTCCACCCTGCATAATGACATCCCTGACATTGCCAACTCAGACAGCATTGTACGTAGTTTGTTGTAAAGGACGGTCTTTAAAGAATATGTGAAAATATTGCATATGTTTAATATTTTATGACACGACTGTCCCCCAACTCTCACAGACCCAACACGACAGCAAAACGAGTCAGGCGTAGTTGTTTTATTATGGTACTTGTAAATACAATGAACACCTACACTACAACTAGAGTTTAAATATTTCAGTTGTGGCTTTCATTATTATCCGAGTGATACTTAGAAAATAAAATAAAATATATTTTTTGAATAGAAAGTATTAAACTACTTTCATCAGATTTAACGTTATTGAAATACCATATTACTATTGCTACTCTAATCACTGATTACTAAAATGTTCCTACTGAAATTAGTAATAATACATACAGTATAGCAATTCAACTGAAAAGCAACTAGCCAAATACTTGGCTAATTGGTTATCAAAACGAGAGTTGAAGTAATCGATTGTTGAATTCCATGAACCTGGCAGTAATTAAGACTTGAAATTATATACTTGTATATGCAGTCTCCACATTATATATATATATACACACATCATTTAGAATTGTTTATATTGTGTGCAAAAGAAGAAAAAAAATGCAGTAATGAGTTTCTTTATTCCAGCTTGGCAGTAAGTTTTATGTAAATATTATATAAATTATTGGCAATTTTAATAGTTGATTAATTGCCAGGTAATATTACATTTATTATATTATTAACTATCCAATTTTAGTATCATTTCTAAACAATAATATATTATTTTTTGAAAGCCAGTCTCCAGACGTCTACAGTTATATTTTTTTAATGTTGTACAACAGTTAATAATGTTTTTGAATATTTAAGAACTGAGGTTTTTATTCAAAAATCTATAACTTATTATCCCAAGTTTTTCCTAAGAGTCTTAGATGCATCACTTGTACAACATCAATTTTTCTCCCTCCAGAAACTGGGTTTAATAGTCAATTTAGAGCCATTTCATATTATTTTTTTCATTTTATAAATTGCCAGTCATTGTTTTATGAACTTACTCTTAAAATAAGTGTACAACAGTTTAATTCAACTAAGGTCAAATCAGATATCTTATTAATTATGGTCAATTTTTATATTTAATTAATTGCCAATTAATATTTTGTAAAGGATTTATAGAATTATTTTTGTTTTACTTGATAAGTAATAAATTGGTGGTCAGCATAAATATTTTTTATTGAGTATTCAGTAATATTTTGATCAGTATTATGTGATAATTATTAGATTAAATAATATGATTATTCCATTTTTTATATATATATAATGTGATATTCTAAGAAATTGCCATCATATTGGGCATGGACATTTTGCACTGACAGTTTAGCAGAACTGCAACACATTCTGTGAAATATTGCTTATTATGTGTCAATTTTTGTTTATGTTCATTTTATTTTTATGACCAAACTGTCTGAAACTAAACGCATA